CCAGCATTTCCGGAAATATTGGTGTTGCTCAAATAATAATACGATTCATCGTCAATAATAACTACTTTTTTCCTAAAAATCGAAACCAATCTACGGCACTTTGAACGAACAACTGCTTTTTGAGTTGGTGTTTTTTTTGAGTTGGTGTTCTTTTTGTATTATAAAGGCACAATCTTGAAAGTCAATTTTAAACATCTTTTAATGAACATCTTCTAAAGAATTTTATCAATGAAGACTTTAAATTTGTTAGAATTGGGTACGTACAATATGGCGAATGGTAAATTTTATTTTTCTATATCGTATAAATACGTCATATGATAAACCTAAAATAAAAATTATTGAATCATAACATAATAATATAAATGATGAATGTACACTTAAATACGTTTTGACCTCTCCATGTAAAGCACTTTTTCCTTCAGGCACTTCTTTATTGATTGATAATGAATACATACTAGTCCCAGCGGGCATATTCTAAATGTCTTTTAAACATTCTTACGTAAAGAGCGTTTAAAAGACTTATAAAACGTTTAAAAAATATTTAGAACGTAACTTTGATATTTAGAGATATTTAGAACGTAAAAAATTCCCGTAGGGGTAAGTGTTAAAATCAAAAGTTTAGAATAATTATTTTGTTCAGTTCTCCTAATATCTTTTCTTTTCCAAATATCTTTTGAGGAAATTATCTCCAAAATATCTTTTTGATATGGTATTTCAATGCAATCAGGAACTTCCTCCTTTTTTTTTTTTTTATTTTATTATTATTTAGGTGCCGCTAAATATACGCGTATTACAAGGTTCGAACTCTGAATCGCTTTAACCACTACGCTATAGTGTCGATAAATTATAATGTATTATTATGTATTATATATTATATATATAATATTTTGCATGTATTATATATCAGAAGAATAGATTTTTAAAATTGGTATCATGTTTATAATAGCGATGTTAATTTATACAATTTTACACGGAGGGGGGAAGGGTGTACAAAATTGTTGCGTAATATTAGGGAGGGGGGTCAATAAAGTGTTACGGATGCGTTACAAGGGGGCAGGGGATCAAAAAATGAAAAAATCTGCGTGACGTATTTTATGGACGATCTCTATGGAGAGTCGATTCTGAGGGGGAGGGGTTGTCATACCAACTTACCTCCTCCCCTGCTTAAAGAATAGGATTTTTGTGTTATTGTTGGTTTTTAAAACTGAAAGAAAAACTTAAAATTTAAGAGGTCTGAGGTTTGACGCCAGCTCTAGCCCAATAAGCGACAATGGTAAGGAAGGAGGCGTGAACTTCCAAGTTAAATGTTCATATGTAGTGATCTGTGATAAGACCGTAAGTACTTTTGGAATTACTTTAATAACCACACAAAAAAATTCACTGAAATTGGGTCAACCCTATCAAGCAAAATACCAAAAACCTAAACCTCATTTTGATACCTATTGGTAAAAACATTTGCTCTGAAGAATTATCTGCCGAACTATCATTTGATGAGTTTTAAAAAGCTTTTAAATCTTTAAAAAAGAATAAAGCAACTGGTGCAAATGAAATAAACGGAAATATTGTTATAGATTGCTATGAACAATTATTAAATGTTCATTTTAAAATTGAAAAATGTGTAGAAAAGTGAAGAATACAAAACTTTCTGCAGTTATAATAAATCCTTCCATAGATGTTAGTCAAAAAGACAAATTTTTTGACTGGTGAAGCTTCTGGTGAAAGATTTGTTCAGTTTTTAGAACTACTTGAAAGTACTTCTAAAAACTAAATAAGTTCTTCTTAAAGCTTTACTATAATGATCTCGATATCTCATAGAAATTTGTTAATACCAGTCATATGATGGTAAAATTGTCACGTCTTTTAAAATTTCTGCAGAAAAAAGTCAAGGCCATTTTAATTACATTTTCATTTCATTACAAATTTTCAATTAATTACAATTTCAATTCATGTTACAGTATCATTTTAAGAAGAAATAAGTTGCTGCAAATATTCTAAGGTTAAAATAGAGTTAACTTAAAGGTGGGTTAATAGTTCTTGTAAAACGAAATTTAACGTAGAGCAGTGTGAAACCTTTAATTAGATAGTACTTATGTTCATAATTGGGCATTAAAGCTTACATTTTCAGATAATAAATCAATAAAAAGCAATTGCTTTTAAAATAAAGAAAAAGGCAAATATACTTTGATTTTAAATTTCATTTTCATTTTACAAGGTTTAACATAATCGTAATTAGTGACTTGAAAATTGATTGCATATAAAGCTTAAATTAACACTAACTTATATAAATTTAAAAAATGTTATGGTCTAATTGCATTAAAAACATCTAAAACAAGTAATTACTTAATAACATGTTTTATTTACACGTTTCTGCGTTCACATATTGAAACTTGTGCAAGTTGATTCTGGAGATTTTATTTGAAACTTTAGAAACCATAAACACATTTTTTACTAGCCATTTCTCTAGGTGAACGCTGTTCAAAGAAAGGTAATATCAAAAAGTTGAAAACGTCTTAGTGGAAAGAGAAAGGCATCTAAAAAAGTAGTAGTTGTTTTGCATTAAAAAAGAGCATTTAGCTGTAGCAGCTTTGTAGATAATTGGCAAATAAACAATTATACAGCCAAGAATTTGAAGAAAATTCTTGTATCTCATCAGAAATTCAAATGTTTTTTTTAGTGTATTAAATTAAATTTAAATTTGTTTTATGTTAAGAAGTAAGTTCTTATCAATAGTTTTTTATCTCATTACTAACAGAAGATTCTCTAATAACTATTTCAATACTCAAAGATATGGTTATTGCACCCAGCAGAACACGAAAGAAAACTGTGAAACTAGATCCCAGTAACTGGAAAAAAAAGCCTATGACCTCTCTTTAAAGTGGAAAATAATAACACCATATCAACAGAAAAGAGTAAACAAAAAGAAGCAGCCTCAGAACGAGCTTGCATTATTGGAGAACTCTATTTCACTCACTTTCCAAAAAAAAAACTAGTACCACATGAAACGATTTCTATATTGTTTGGTAATAATAAAATAAATAGTGTAAAAATTAGATTTTTACACTTTTTTAGAAAATTTAAGCAACAGAATTTTAAAGGTATTGAAATATTATACAAATCAAAAAGATTTTTAAACATGTGTACTGCAAGTCTACTACATGTCTGCTTTAACTCAACTGTATTTTTTATTTCAATAATAACTTTGCAAATATTGTATGGGACAGTACAAACAAAAATAAACTCGAGCCTCTTCGTTGTCATTAAGTTAACTCATGCCATTGACAAACTCATTTAAAGCCTCTCCTGAGTAAAACAAACATTTATCAACTTAATGTATGTAATATTCTATGTTTTATGTACAAATATAAAACGATATTATCTCTGGTCGAGATATTCGATACTAGTAATACCAGAAAAAAGCAGCTGTGGCGCAGCAGTTAAAACGCTTTCTATAAAAGCATGAGATCCAGGGTTCGAAGCGAGCTCTTGGCATATTTCGTGAAATCGGTAAGGAAGGAGGCGTGAACTTCTTATTTAAATACTCTTTTGCGGTGCTCTATCTACAAGACCGTTGAGTCTTCTTGGGGCACCTAAAACAAAACAAAAACGCTTGAGGCTCGATGCCTCGTTTGATTATATACACGAGGTAATTAAGGCAGCGTCAACTTTCTTATTATGTTTCGCTACAAGACTTTTTTATAGCACCATTATAATCAATAAAAAAAAAAAAAACTATTTTAGCGGCTATATCATGTACAATTTTTATGCCGGAGGATAGAAAAAAAAATTTGGGAGATAATGGAGAATTATACAAGCTACATGGCCCATAATGCCACCTTTAGCTCTAGTAGTTCATACAGAGCAAACTTTTTATTGTTTAAAATTAAAAAGGTGTTCTGCGTAAAGCTCTACAGAAATTTTTCGAGATTAAAAGAATCAAAGGAATGAAACTTTCGAGGTTTCGCAAACCATAGTAGAAGCATATTGAGTAAACATGAATAATGGAAACATAATTTGTAAATAACTTTTACAAGACACAAAAATAACCGAAAACTAATTTTTAAATTTAATTAAAAATCATTAAATTTAAAAGCAAATGATTCATATGTAATGAGGATTTGCGCGGAAAATAATCGAATTCGAAAAGTTTTTAGAAAAAAAAAAGTGGAAAAGAGGTTTGGGAAATAAGCGTTTATATCGTTTGTTTTATGGCGTTCCATTGTATGATTAATAAATTAATCATACAATGGAACGCCAAGAAAAAAAAACGATTGTAAAATAACAGCGTAGTGATGGGAATTAAAGTAAAAGTTTCAACTAAATTAAAGTTAAAAGTTAAATAAAGAAAGTAAGAGTTTTAAATGAGTTGAATTTTTTTTTGGTCTGAAATACAATTACGATTCCAAACAATAAAATTTTTTTATTTTTTGGAAGCTTCGCCAAATTGCATTTTTGCAAAAAACCTAGCAGTAATAATATATATATATATATATATATATATATATATATATATATATATATATATATATATATATATATATATATATATATATATATATATATATATATATAATATAACAAGTCATTAAAGTTAAAATGTCAAATCATAAAAATATTTTTAAAAAATATTTCAATTATTTTTATTATTTATTTATTATTACTGAAATTAACTTAAATTTCAAATATTTTAAAAAAGTTTTATAAAAATTACAAAAAAAAAAAAAAAAAAAAAAAATCAAATATAAAATCTTATATCAACAACAAAAATCAATAATTCAAACAATCTAAAATTAAAAAAAAATATGTTCTTCAAAATTTGAAAATTCTAAAATAGTCTATACTGTTTTTTATATTTCAAAGTCTAATAAAATTATTTTTGGGTCTAATAAATTCTTATAAATTTATAAGAATTTAAATTACAAAGTCTAATAAAAATACAAACATAATAATAATTAAATATTTAACATAAATATAATAAAATAACAGTAATAAAATATTTGACATAAAATTAAATATTTAATTCAAAGTCTTATAAAAATTATAATTTGCAAAAAATATAAAAAAACAGTTTCTTATGAATACAGCCCTTTTATTCTCTTGTTTTCAGGGTCAAAAAGAGGATTTAAGTTACAGATAGCTGGTATAAATTCGCCCATTGATTCGATTTCATAATTCCCTGTTTTAAGGAACTCATTATCAATGCAACCCCCGGATGGACTCTTAACGTACCCATAGCCTATAGTTTTTCCGATGTGAAAACCATATCCACCTCGACGAATCATACCAACAATTTCTTTATTGCGCCATATTGCTTCAAGACCAATAAGAGGTCTGTGTCTAAAACCGAAAAAAAGAATACTTAAGTATCCAACAAGTTGTCATATTAAAAACAAAATTTACATAAATACAAAATCAAAAAACAAACTCATCAATAGTAAAGCAGGCTAATTTTTTGGTCAAGCCACTTTTTTTTTGTTTTTCTAACACTTCCCGTCCTAAAAATGGCACATCTGACTTCAACTTGCAAGTGAAAGCCAATCCTGCTTCTAATGGGGTATCATCAGCTCTTATATCAGCATGCCAATGACGATAACCCTTTTCTATGCTTAAATTGTCAATGGCACGATAACCTAAAATCACAAAATTATTTTAATTTAATTTGTTTTTGTTTAACTTAAAATTGTTTTTTAAATAAATTAAAATAAAAATCGAAATTCAATTATCAAAACCTAATACTTGAAATCTAATAATCAAAATCGAAGAAAAATTGAATATCAGTGTACCACAGAGTTTAATTGAATACCAGTGTACCACAGAGTTCAATTCTAGAACCTTCATTTTGTTTGAATTTTTATCAATAATCTTGTTGATTATTCAACACTATTTGAACCAAGATTATTTACAATCAAACACTTACGACAAATGATATAAATACTTCCCATCTTAATAACGACTCAATCAGCACTTAACAAACTGAATGGTTTTATGCTAATAAACTTAATATAAATCATAATATAAATAAATTATACATACAAAATATAAATTTAATTATACATATGTAATATAAATATAATATAAATTGTAAACTGAGGAATGTTAATAATCAGACATTTTAATAAGCAAAAAGACAGCTAAAATAAGATCGCCGAAATCAGTTATAAAGTTCAAAATTAAACAAATTTACATTGCATCATTATCAAAAACATATAACAAATTTTACTGAACAAATAAAAGAAATAAAAACTAAGCAAATAAGAAATTATTTTAAATAACTAATATTTTCAGTCTAACCTTCAAAAAACGATACATTCATACTTACAATACATTCATAATACCTAACAAACCTACCTAAAAAGGCAGTTATGAAAAGATCTCCAATTATTTAAAGCCTATAATGGGATAAACATTCCAATGACATAGATGTTCATGGTATGTATGAAATGCTGTTATCAGAAACCAATTTAGCTATGGTCAAATTCATTTCTAATCAATAAAAATTATTGCTTAGAAATGAATTTGAAATTATTGCACCATTTAATGAGTATAAAATATACTCATTAAATGGTGGCATTACTTGATAGACGAGAAAGTTGAAATAAATTTAACCATAGATGAGATTAGGGCATCCAATACCGGACCAAAAATTGAATACCGGTTTTTCGGTATTAAATTAAGTGAAAACCGAAATACCGGCATTAATACCGGTATTTACTATTACTAAAAAAACATTATATAAAACCCAAAGCAACAGTTAAACGGTTCCAAAACTTTATTGTTTAAGTTAAAATAATAGATATAATTAATTAATTTCAAGCAAAAAACATAAAATAGTTATTTATTATTAAAGTAGGCCCGCAAAAAACATAAATTATTTAAAGTTTCGTCATTTAAAGATGGTCATCTTTTTGTACATAAAATCCCTGATGAAGAGAAAGCACGTTCAGCTTCTACGCTAGTTGGGGGAATAGTTAAAATATAATCATATACCAACATCAAGTTGGTACCACGTGTACCGTCTTCCTCAAATATAGAAGCTTCTTTTCGCACCATTTTAGTCAAATCGTTAATATTTTGCTTTGTTTTTGGTACTGTTTTCATTTTCATCTCATTATTTATGGCCATGTCTAGCTGCTCCTGTAATGTCAAGCTCAAAGGTTCGTCTTCACACATTATAGAATCTTCGTCATCATCTGTTTCTGATGGGAATGCTGCAGTTTCAGTTTGCTCGGATGAGAGCCGCTGGATAAGATGCACAATTAAATTAACCAAAGCAGTTTTAGTTAGCCGATCAAATATGATATCTGAACTAAAATTATTATGATCACATTTATGAAGATATTGTATGAGATAAGATAAATTTGTGCGTCTTTCTTTTATTCTTTCAATCAAGGAGGTTTTCATATTTTTACTTAATGGTCTTACGCCCAAATTTTGCAGCATTAATGCCGGGGTAGCATCAGCTGATAGTAGGTTAGCATCTCTCCGACATAAAGCCTCTACAGCCAATTTCACTGGTAACAACATAGAAACTGTTGATAATATCAATTCTAATTCAGATTCCATAAAGTTAATAGCTGAGTTTATGTCAATCAGGGCTTTTTGAATAGAATTTTTTAGTTTATAAAAATGCTCTAGCATAAAAAGTAAGCTATTCCATCTGGTCTTATTATCTAATATTAATGACAATTCATTACCATGTTCAGTTTTTACATAAACTTGAAGGATTTCATTTTTGGTTGGCGATCGCCTGAACAGCTTTACAACTTTTCTATCTTTTCTTATCAATGGAGCCAAATTATTTGCAAGTTCATTTGAAATTGGCAAACTCTAAAAAATCCTTAGTCCGTCTAAATGCTCTTTATTATAGTCATCAGAAATCTCACCCGCACTATCTTCATCAGATTCAATATAATCATCTATCAATTCTACAGTTGTTGTTTTATACAAGACGTCAACCACAGCCAATTGGATTCCATGGGTTAGACAAAGTTGTTGGTCAACGGACATTAATCATCCTACTTTCCTCATAAAGGAAGCACCATCTGTGGTAATACATACAATATCACAATCAATATTAAGGTTGTGTTCTTTTAGTATGTTGTTAATTAACTTAACACACATTTCTGCTGGGAAATGTCCATTAATTCTCGCTAAACCCAAATTCTAAAATCTATTTCGAGAATGAACGTTAATGTTCAAATAACGTCTATTTTTTACCGAAGTCCACTCGTCAAACGTAAGACTAAACCAATTTCCTTGCTGATGAAGTTCAGATAATTCTTTTATTATTGAGTTTCGAATTTTAGTAGCATATTTCATAACTATTTGGCAAATGGATTCAGATGATTTAGGCACATCCAAACCTCGAGCTACCAGCAATTTTCTTAACTCATTGGATGTTGTAAAAACTCTGAATGGCAACCCATCAACGGCCATCATTTTCACTAACTTGGCAGTGTATCATTATCTTCGTTTTTAGTATAAAAAGTTGAAATTTTATTTCTGGGTCTAGCGAGTTGCAAATCAGGTGTCATCGAAACACCACCAGTAGATGACGAAATTGAAACTTCAACTTGATAACGTTTCAATAAATTTATTTGGTGAGAAGTCCTTAAATGTCTATGGAGTCCACTAGTCGAGCCACCACAGGTCTTCATTTCTCCACCACAGGTCTTCATTTCTCTAGCACAGGTCTTTATTTCTCTAGCACATTTTTTACATTTTGCTACAGCTCCAGATTTTTCGCGCAAAAAATAACACGCAGAGTTTTTGTTCTGGAGTCCTTTTTTAAAATCTTCAAATACTTTTGGTCTATCAGCCATGGCTATGGCAGCACGTTTTTGGTATACTATAATTTCCAGTATGAAAAATAAAATTGAAATACAAAAGATATAAATATCAAAAACTTATAAAAATGAAGATAAAGATATGAAAGTTTATATAAATTTAATATAATTATTTGAATTATATATAGAATTATATAAACTTTTCATATAGTTATATTATATGAAAATAAATATAACATCTCTATACTAAATGTATAAAAAAACAAAACTACATCTCTAATAGAGATGTAGTTAAAATTCTCTCCATAAAATATCTAACTTTATGATAAAAAATAAAATTAAATACAAACAGGTAAATAATTATTAAAAAAAAAATTATCTATGAAAGGTTTTTTTATTTCAAATCTAAGTTCTCTTTGGGAATATTTTCTTGCTTAGATACTTGAAATAACTATTTAAAGAGTTGAATAATTCAAAATATAAATGTAACTTGTTTAATACTTTGGTAACTAAATATTAAAAAAGGTTCTCTGCATCTAAGAAAGTATTTTATCCATTTATTTATCCATTTTATAATCAAAGTTTTCTTAGGTGATATTTTTGTGCTTACAGATATCTATAAAAATACAGATTTCTCTATGTCAAAACACGCACAAAGTATCATCGATAAAAAATACCGGTATATACCGGTATTGAGAGTTCGGTATGGGTATTTAAAAAACGTCCGGTATACCAGGATACCGGTATACAATGCAATGAATTCAATCTTAGTTGAAAGTCAAGATAGTTGCAATAATTTCAACCTTAGAATCTTTCCATTCAACATTCAACATTTATTGAGAGCTTAATTATCAAAATACTTTTTTCAATTTTTTTATAGTAAAATAAATTCTTTTAACTATAGACCCATCATAAAATCATAAGTTAAAAAAGTTGATTATAAATAGTAATCATAATTAAGATCAATTAAAAATCCTAAACAAAACAAAAATCCTAAATTACTACATGCATGAGCAAATACTAACAAACAATAAAAAAAAAAATAATAATAATTAAAAAAATAGGCTCATTCAATGGTGGCATTACTTGATAGACAAGAAAGTTGAAATAAATTTAACCAATGTTGATAGATGAGATAGTTACAATAAATTCAACCTTAGAATCTTTCCATTCAACACTGATTTTCATTCAACACTGATTTATTGAGAACTTATTTATCAATTTTTCTATACAATTTTTTTAAAAGGCAGTAAAATAAATTCTTTAAACTATAGACCCATCGTGCATCAGTAGCATATAAAGTTATAAAAATAAAAATAAAAAATCACAAAACATATTATTGATAATAACTTGAACTCTGGTCAACATCACAAGTTTGTTACAAACAAATTCTGTGTGATGAATTTAATAGAATCATTGGATATCATAACTGAATGGCTAAACTTCAGTTGACACAGTGTTCATTATTCTTATTAAAGTCAGAGTTTTGATTGGTGGAATGAAGTTAGTGGTATACAATAAGGCTCTAGTTTAGGACCTCTGTCTTTATTATATTTATTAATTATATCTCAGAAGTTATGACACGTTTCATTAAGCTTTTTGCAGATGACACAAACTTAGAATCATAAAAAAATCATAAAAAAAATCCAATGAACAGCATTTTATTAGATATCATTTGATTGTGCAGCATTCCATTTCAAAAAGAAATACAGCTTTAAAATGGGCTAATAAATGGCATATGAAATTTAATCATGATAAATATTAAACTATGTAGGTAAGAAATTATGTAGGTAAGAAAAAAAGACAAATAAACAGTTACATACATAAATATAGGATAAATGGTCAAGGAACAACAGGAAACTGAATTAAAGCATGATTTTGATCAAACCTAAAAGTGATTCTTGATGGAATCCAAGCATTATTTGGTACTATAATTACAAACAATTAGATTTAGAAAATCAAATTTGAAAAATCAGTGTTTAAAAACCTTATTCTCGGAAAACTTTCCCAGTATATAAAAACCTTATTCAAACAAACTTTTGTTTATTGGAATATAAAATCATTCAAGATTTTATTCACATCATTTGTAAGATGATCAACCTGCTATAAAACATCAAATTATCACCAAAAACATCAAATAATCTTTTTCAATAACCAAACATTAGCTAATACATACAATTATTAACAACATAATGGTTTGATGACAACATAAACAAATTTAAAAAACTATATTGATTTTTATTTCAGCAAAAAAAATGTAGCATATAACTTCAATTTCTTCTTGAATTATAATTATATATAATAATAAAATCTTTATATCTAGATAATAACTACCTAAAAACAAACCCTTTATTGATGTATGCACTGATGCCCATATTTTAATAATGTTCAGTATGATACTTGTAATAACATATATGTATAATATATTTGTCCATTCTCGTCCTTAGTGTTAATATACATGTAACAACATATATGTATAACATATTGCTCCTTTCTCAGTGTTAATATACATGTTATAAGGTATACGTATTTCTTAGTGTTAATATACATGTAATATATATTATTATAACTATTTTAATAATAACATTGTATTTTTCAACTTTCCTAATTTTCATTTGAAGCTGATTTAATTGTTTTTAATATTACTTGATTTTTAATGTTTTTATTTTTGAATTTATGGTTAGGTGTCACCCCATTAGGTTTTAACTTCATGAATGACATATACATATATTTATATATATATATATATATATATATATATATATATATATATATATATATATATATATATATATATATATATAGTTACATATATTTATATATATATATATATATATAAATATATGTAACTATATATATATATATATATTTATATATATATATATATATATATATATAGTTAATAAAATAGAATATAACTCACATATTATATATTATCACATAAAGATAGAAATCAATAAACAAACAATCAACATGGTAAGAAAACAACATACCACTATTAACAATGCCAAACTCTTTACCAACCTTCATAATTTCATGGTAAACATCAACACATGCATGTTTAGGTATATGAAGTTCCCAACCCATTTCACCAACAAATGTAAGACGAAGAGCTCTCATTTTATGACCAGCTATTTCAACCACTTTATGAGTTGAGAAAGGGAAAGCATCATTTAACAAATTCTCGCCAGTCAATTTTTGAAGAAGCTTCCGACTGTTTGGTCCCTGTATACTTAACATTCCTACTTCTTCTGAAATATCAACAAGCTTTACATTAAACTTCTTATTATGAATAACATCTTGAATGTGACCCCAAGCATGCTCTCCTATTGCACCGCCAATAGCTAAATAGTAACCATTTTCTAAAAAAAATAAATAATTAAATTGAGTAAAACATAGCGTACCTAGCACATGAATAACCCAGATAATATTTATTTATATTGCATTTTTTTTTAATTAAAAATAAAACATAGCGTTACTTAGCACATGAATAATCCAGATATTATTTATTTATATTGCATTTTTTTTTTATTAAAAATAAAACATAGCGTTACCTAGCACATGAATAATCCAGATATTATTTATTTATATTGCATTTATTTATATTGCAATTTTTTCTTTTATCACATCTCATTAATCCTCATGCTATCTGATTCTTCTTTTCACTTAGTTATTATAACTATTTTAATAATAACATTGTATTTTTCAACTTTCCTAATTTTCATTTGAAGCTGATTTAATTGTTTTTAATATTACTTGATTTTTAATGTTTTTATTTTTGAATTTATGGTTAGGTGTCACCCCATTAGGTTTTAACTTCATGAATGACATATACATATATTTATATATACATATATTTATATTTTCAAATAGATTTATTTATATTTATATTTACTTATATATAAAAAAAAATGAACTTTAACCAAAAAACTACCTTGAAATTCAGGAAATATTGCAGATGAGTTGTTACTTGAATCAAGTGTGCTTACTGTTAAATCTGCAACTATACCACCTTTTTCATTCAGCATGCATGTGTAAGTTACAGAACCTGAACAAATTTAGGTTAAGAATGCTTGTTGCATTCATATTATTAAAACAAAAAATTTAGTAACAAATGTCAATCCTACTTCAAAAAATTAAAATTGTACTAGGATTTCTTTTAAGTAGGAAAAAAATACCAGTTGGTTTTCTCATGTTATTAGTAAAAATCCAATCTACAGCAGTAGATGCATCTGGGCCAGTCAACAAAAATTTAGCAAAATATGACATATTAAAAACTGCAACTTTTTCACGACAAGTTTTACATTCTGAACCGATCTAAATTTAAAAAAAGATAAATATAAATAACTATAATAAAATAACTTTATAAGTTTTTTTTTAAATAATAATAGAATTAGGGTTGAGCTTCAGTAATTTGAGTTATTTACCACTATTGTAACCAATCGATCTGAGGATCAAGTATGCATATATGGTCAATATGATGCTCCATAATATGATTGATTGCGATGGTAATAATTTACCAGTAAGCTTACTAGTAGATACATTAAGTTATCTTTTATTAGTTCTACCAAGCTCAACCCTATAAACGATAGATATCTTTATAACTTAGAGAGAAAACTATAAACATTTTTTTTAAATGGGTAATCTATTATGTTAAGATTGATGCAAAACTTCAAAAATAAGAAATATTATATATATTAATATATATTTATAAGTAATAAGTAATATGATATTTATAACAATATATTTATAAGTAATAAAATATTTCTCAACCAATATTAAACACTTTACAATGAATATTAAACACAATCTTTTAACTAAAGCACAATAATATTTTAAAATATAAATAATAAAAAATATATAAACTTGAAAAAAATATTAATGTTAAAAAAATGTATAAATATTTAAGAATATATATAACATCTTTTTTAGTCATAAAACATGTTTTTAGAAAATTGAACTTTAATTATTTTAACATATCTTTTCTAGAAGATAGGTTTTTATAAAGAATAATAAAAAAATTCTTTTATGCATATTTTTATGATTTCATAAGATGCATAACATGAACAAGCTAATTCTTTTATAACTTTTAATTTCATGAAAGTTCATATAAAAGTTAGACTAAACATGTTAACAAAACAAAAATGTTAAAGAATCCAGGCAACTTTTTTAACATTAAATTTACTTTGATGTTATAAAAAACCAAAGTATTTTATCCTATGAAGATTATATATATGTATAGATGTATGTATATATATATATATATATATATATATATATATATATATATATATATATATATATATATATATATATATATATATATATATATATATATATATATATATATATATAATGAAGATTTTATGCTATGAAAGCTTTAATTACTAATTGTTGCTATAGATCCAATTGGTAAGAACAAATCATGTCATCTTTAATATTCATTTTTGTTCAAAAAAAACATTGAAAAAACTTTTTAAAACAATAGCATGATCTCATAAATAATAGCATGATCTCAAAAGTTAATAAGTCAGTAATATATTTTAACTGAGCCTGTTAAATGCTTTTAGAGTAAGCAAAAATTTTTGAGTTTTTAAAATGTTTCACCATACTTCTTTAATATACATAGACAGAACTATATACACATTATATACTACTACATAAAAATCAGTGCATCTACTATATATTGAAATTAACAATATTTTCTTATTGTTTTATATAGTACAAATAAATATTTTTATAAGTTATATAGAAATAAAGTTTCTATTCATAAATACATAAACTAAAGATATTTCAACTAACTAAATAAAGAAATACAACATAAATTAGAGATTTCAACTTACTGCATCAAAATGTTGAGGAAAATTAAAAGTGTACTCATCATTTAGGATTTCATTGTATATGTAGTTATTATGTTTTGGTATTTCTTTATATGCACCATACCAGTCATAATCTTTTACCTGATAAATTTAAAATTTTGAAAATATATAATAAGATCACATTTATATGTAAATATAATTAAAATATAATTACAAATGAAATAACATCAAAACCTTACAATTAAATTACAAAATCACAACCCAAAGTTGTATGACAATTTATCTGAACGATTTAAACAACATTACAACAAAACATAAGTTTGACAATTGTCTTATAAAATTAATGAAGCTTTTTAATTTTATTTTTACTTCAAAAAATGTTTTTTTACAGTAAAAATCCAATCAAAACAGGTGCATAACTGCATATGAAACAAACTTACATGCAAAAAACATTATTATATCAAATGTAAAGGGACATTTCATTTTAATAAAAGTCGTTAAAGTTGTTAATAAGAAACATTCCAAAGTTGCAAACAAATTTCTCGATCAATGGTAAATCAGTAATACTCATTTTGCATTTCTTATAACTAAGTTTCTTTTTACTTCAAACATCCAAGTTGCACAAGTCCCAATTATGATTTGGAAATGCTAGCATGTCCACTGTTTTGGGTACAAGAGATGCACATAGCCAACCACATACCCATCAGTTAAGAAAGTGCAGAAGTGACTGCACAGAAAATGCAGGTATGCAGATGTACTGACACACCAAAATAGCAGACTTGGATTAATAATTAGTGTTATCTTGTCAAAGCAAAAGATGCTACTGTTGACAATCAGTGACAATAATATAGCAAAAGTTGTTGACAGTTCTGTTGTCAAAGCAAAAGATCTGTTGACAGTCAGTGACAATAACATAGCGGTAGTGGTAGAACCCTTGCCTCATATACAAGAGGTTCTGAGTTTGATGCCCACCACAGCCCTGGTAGTACCGAGCTCACCTTGTTTCTCAGCACAGCAGCCTTGCTTTTCAATGTTCATGTTTTGGAGTTACAGAGTTGAGAGAGGGTTATAACCACAATTAAATAGCCTTCTCGCCTATAGTGGCCTTCTCGTCCTTGGGGAGGCAAAATGTCCAAAACCTTTATCGGCTGTGCACAGCAATGCTAGTTCATCAAATACATTTTGGTTTCAAATGGTTCTGTAGGATCAGTTAGTCTGACACTACTTCCATATTTCTGTCTAATACTAGCATAACAAAAGCTTCCATTTGAGCTCTGATGACCAAATATGTTTTATGATAAATAGGTTCTTTAAAATTTTTTTGAAACTTATGACATGGATCTAATAGATGCTTGACAAAATCTGTTGACAGCCTTACTGCTAATAATTGGCAAGTATGACAGTATAAAATACTTTTGATTATAAGTGCTTATATATTATAACAAAAATTTAATAATATATAAACTAAATATAGAAAACTGTAGAAATAAAAAATGTTAACAAAAAATTAACTGAATTCATTGGTACTGGAAATAAGTTATTCCTTACTGACCTTCCAACATTTATAGATACAATTCAATATGCAGTTCTAGTTGAGACAGTAAAAACTCCAGATTTATGATTTTATGTGGTCTAACATTAGTTCTAGTTGAGACAGTAAAAAGTCCAGAGTTTTTATGACAACTGTCATGATGTCATAATACTTTATGACAACTTTGACAGATTGCAAAACTAATAATAAAACTAAACTAAAATTGACATGACTAATTTATAAAAAAAATAAAATAATAATAGACCTTTTTAAATAAATAGAACATTTTATTTCATTGATACAACCCTACTTTAGCTGGCAGTCACTTTATATACCACTAAAACACATAAGCAATCTCTGTCCATGCGAACTTTCATCCAAGTTTTAAAAATATTTTATAAATTAATCTTTGAAATATTAAAAAAAGATATGTTTGTTATTAAGATGAGTAAACAATTAAAATTAGTTTTCTAATAAATATGTATACACAAATATAAAAAGTATTTTGAAAATTAATAAAATATTTTCATTAAAATTTTCAACTGTTAGACATAACTGTGGCAGTCAACTCTCGCACTTAATTGCAACACTTTACTCTAGTACTTAACTGTGCTATTTAACTGTGGCACTAAATGTTTTTCATTCTTAGATTTGGAAAAAAAAAAAAAAAAAAAAAAAACTCAATACAGCATCTAACTTAAGTCATGTTTAAGTCTGTACTTATGAAAAAGGAATGGGAAGATAGTACATTGTTAAAGGAATGATAAATCAAGTGTAATATAAAAGTGTACTCTAATAAAAGTTGCTGCATTAATTAGCAGAATGGTAACCAGGTGACAAAACAATATTTATGCAAAATGTCATTTAAGAAAAAAAAAAAATTTAATGTGTAGAATACTCAATTATTAGATTTGTATGTTCTTTGGAGCAATAGAGAACATTTAGAAGCTAAAAAATGCTTTTGTTGAAAATCAGAAAAGTATTAAAAGCTCATTTTTTTATGAGAAAAAACTAAGGGTGGCCATAATCAATTGTCACCCAATGGTAACATTCCAAAACTACAGGTTAAAATATATTATATATTGACTTAGCTTTAAAACATTTTATTTAAAATATATATATATATTTTTCTTAAATTAGAATATTATTACTTAAAATGTTTAACTCAATTATTAAATTTTATACCTCAGAAACTTTCTCTAGATTAAACCAGCCAGGTCTTTCCCAGCCATGACGTTCTTGATAAAAACATCCAGCTTCTTTGAGTACCTTCAAAAAATAGGGGAAAATTTAATAAAATAGGGTACATTGTAATAAAATGTGAATAAAAATTTGTTGATTATTGTACTAAAATTATAAAATTATTGAGCAGAGTCCCTAGAGTTAATATATATCTTACCATTAACAGTGACTTGGTTCCAACTCCTTAGAGCCTATTTTTAATATATTTATCTTGTCAGTAAGTGATTTTTTTTTTTTAATTATTCACCTCCCCAAGGCCCGAGGGGGCCACAACAGTCGAGGAGGCTACTCTCTTTTTTTGTTGTTTTTTTTGTTGTTGTTGATCGTGGTACAACCCTCTCTCAACTCTTTAACTTCGAAACACAAACCTTGACAAGCAAGGCTGCTGCGCGGAGAAATTAAGTTGAGTTAAGATTTGATATTAGATATAATAAACTGCTTCATGTATAATATTTAATAAACTGTATAATATTTAATAACATGTATAATATTTAATAAACTCTTTAAATTGAAAAAAAAAAAGTCATCAACCCATTAATTTCAAAAATGAAAGATTAATAGACCAAACTTTACATAGTCCAACTTATCAACTCTTAGAAAATTATAAACTCATCAACAACAGATGACAAAGCAGAATGATGACAACAATAATAACATGCAACAATGGTCATATGAAAGAATACTTTTTTGAAATGTTTAATATAGACAATGGGTGCAAGTTTCATAAGGTGTGTTTAATAATATTATTCAACTGATTGGTTGTAGTAAAGAACGTCTTTTATTTAACAGTTTATCTATTTCAATGCCTTAAATATTTTGAAAAATACTGGAAAAAAAATGTTTTTTTATTGAGGTTTGCCTTAATATAATTAAAAGTTATGGAAATATTGAAGAAATTTATTTATAAAATATTTATAAAACTTTATCTAATCAGGTCAAAAGTTTTAAATGTGCTATTTGAATAAAGAAGACTGATGAAAATCAGCGCTTCATTATTTTGAAGAATATGATAATGCATGAAACTAGTAAACAATTCTAGTAATAGCTGATGCCACTATATTGACTTTTGACACAGTGAAGAATTTAGTGAGAATTCTTTACTTCAATAAAACAAATTTTAAAAACCTGATGAAAAGGGTCAAGCCTCATATTTCTTGAAGCCAAAGGTTCATCGTTTGGAAACTGCATTGAATAGTTCTTTGCATATGCCTCATGACTTTTTTCGCGGTTCCATTTTTCATTTACAATCAATGAATGATGAAAACGCCTAAAAAAAATTTATTAATATTGTTTGTTTTTATTATCTATATATTTTGAAAAAATAGTGATTAATATTAGATTAAAAATAGTGATTAATATTAATATTAATTATGTTTAAATGTATTTAAACATAATTAATTTTAATTTTAATTTTTTAAACTGATAAATAATTATTAATTTAAAGCAAAATCATTAAAAATGAGAAATGAAAAAACTTTTCAACAACAAAATAATTGTTTTTTTTTTTAACTTTAATTCATAGAAAGGAATTTTGAAAAATGTAAAATACTTTTGGTTTCAGAATTTCTCTTCATTTCTATTTATAATAGATGAAGCCATGTTACTAATTATCATTGATGAAGCCTTGTTACTAATTATCATTGATGAAGCCATGTTACTAATTATCATTGATGAAGCCTTGTTACTAATTATTACGATAATTACTGATTTCTAATTAATATAGATGATATTACTGATGATAGATGTAAAATACTATTGATGGTTGCAAGTAAGTTTGTCAGAGTATTTAGCTGCTTAAAAAGACAGTTGTAAAGTATTTTGTAACTTCACCAAAAGAAGCATTTTTTTTTTGTCTATTAAACCCTGGATTTCATTCAAATGATCAACGAATCTTATTTACCACTGATTGATTCTTAAATTTTCTTGCCAATCCTCATTTATATATAAAAATTTTTAATTTTTTAATTGTTTTAATGACATTTTGATTAATTTATAATTGTTAAATTTTTCAATTTATAATTCAAGTGTTCAAATTTTTTAACAACTACTTTCATTACTTAAACTTTTTTTTAAACAAAATTTATTTTGAAAAGTTGAAAACTTATTTTCCTTTCTCATTTTTTGAATTTTTGAAACTTTTTAAAAAGTAAAAAAGTTATTGGTTTATTTTCAAAAACTTGGCATTGACAGATTTTGAGAACATTATTGATTCATCATCTAACCTATGATGAATTACCTTATATCATAGCTCCACATGTCTAAATCAGGATTACCATGAATTACCCACTTAGCAAGTTCATTAGCACATCCTCCTGACAACATGATACCAGCTGAATTAAATCCACAATTATGGTAATAACCCCTAACATTGATATCAGGTCCAATTAAAGGTTTGTGGTCGGCAGTAAACGATTCTAACAAATAAACAACTTAGTAACAATAAAACTTATTTATTTATTTTTTTAAATAAAAATTATGTCAAAGACAGCAATTAAACTTTTTTATTTCTTATGCATATTTTGTAAAAATAAAATTTTACAAAAAATACATCTTTTGTTTTCTGATAAATGTCAATACTTTTTTTGACACTTGAAAGATTTATTGATAAGAAAACTTTTCTTTCTACTCAAAATTTAACTTAATAACTTATATAAAAATAGAAAAACTGCAACTGAAAACTTAAAACTTTAAAAATTTTTTTTGTAGAAGATCATTTTTTTGGAATTGAATTAGTTGATTTATGAAAAAAAGTATAAATAAAAAAGTTTTGTCAAAAATTGAACAAGCAATAAAATGTATTTAATTAATAATACTTTTTATATTTGGTAATTAACTGCTTATTTTACTCTAATATTTAACATATAATCATTTACATTAAATCTTTAATTTAATATATTTATTCATGTCATTTGCATTGAATCCTTAATTTAGTATATTTATTCATATCATATCATCATATCATTTCTAACCCCTCCAACAATTGTTTGATCAGCCTTCTCTCTACTATTAGCAAGGTCTTTGAGACTTTAATCAAGAAATTTCTATCATCTTGTCTTGAGTCAAATGACTTACTGTCTAACAATCAATATCTTCTTGTTCTATTTCTGACTTGCTAACTACTGTGATTAAAAGACTCTATCGTGAAATAGATGGAGGCAGCACAGTAAGGGTTATTGCTCTTGACTTATCTAATGCTTTTGATAATGTTTGACATGGTGGTCTTCTCCTTAAGCTTGCTTCATAAGGTGTACTTAAGAAAGTTTTTGAGATCATCAAACCATTTCTTTTAATAAAAGTGGTTTATTAAAGTCATCCTCAAAGGCCAACACACTTCTTCATTTCCTATAACATCTGGGGTACCTCAAGATTCAATCTTTGGCCCTGTTTTGTTTTTTATCTATATTAATGCAACTTTATGACAATACGAGAGAGGCTAAAACTTGGCAGATAGAACAGGTTCAAATAGATTTGCAACGCATTTTTGGACTTTGTTTAAAAGAGAAAGAACATTATTAAAAGAACCAGCCCAAATGTGACAACAATATTTTATACAGGGACGAATAAGAGATTTGTAAAATGAAAACGAAATCAGAAGTAAGATAATGACATATATGGTTTCGAGGAGTGTTCAGTAATGAACAATAATCCAAGAAGAAGTAAAAAAGAGGACTCAGTGAGGGGGTTGCTATTCATTAATATAGGAATGTCGACATTATTGCAATAGTTATTTGCAGCAAATAACTGAGTTTTTGTTGGAGTTAAAATTTACAAGCCACTGCAAGCCCAAGGCAGCTACAGATGTGAGATCAGATTAAAGATGCCTGTTTTAAGCAATCGAAAAGAGAAGACTTTGTGCCTAGACAGGAATATAAAGTTAAGTCATCTGCAAGAGTTAGAGCCACTTTAGATGTAAAGCTATTAGGATTATCATTAATGCAGATAAGAAACAAAACAGGACAAAGGATAGAACAATGAGATACCTCAGAGGTTACTCAAAATGAAGAAGAGTATTGGCCTTCGAGAATGACTTTAATAAAGCTAAAAGATAGAAGACATCCGCCCAAGAACTGTCATGAAAAGAATCCTAGTCAGCTTTGGGGTAGTAATAAGTAAAGCGATGATAGGGTGAGTCCAAAGATGAAATACGAGATGATAGAATTAATGAGATCATTGCATGGTTGGAACGACTTAAAATAGAACAAGGAAACTGAACACAAGCTACAGTCGGAGACAAAACACAAATCAAGGAGTGAAGGTAAGTGATTTAATATTTTTGGTTACTTTGGTATGATTTAGTGATTTATGTTTAAAGAAAACTTTACTCATTCATATATAAATAGACTGTCCAGGTCATATTTTAAAAATCTGGAAAATTGTTTGGGTAAAATATCTGGAATATATTTTCCCTGTAACTTTGATTATAGCTGAGTTGTTTCTATTTTCTTTTTCAAACTTTTTTTTAACTTTTGTTCAAGCGATAATAAAAAAGCTTAAAAAACAAATAAATTACAAAAATATACCTAAACTTAGATGTATGGAAAATGTTTTGGATATCTGGAAAAACTAAAAATTGAGGAAAATATCTGGAGAAAAAAGATAATCAGTTAATTAACTGCAAGATATGCAGTTGTCTCAGTCCTGCTAATTAACTTTAAAGTCATAATTTAGGGCTCCTTATGTGACCTCAACAATGCACACATAAAGCATTAACTGGGACACCATCTATGCGCAACATGGCACTGGTAATATTTTACATGATATTTTACTCTGATATTTTATATGATGGAATCAGCCTCTTTGAGAGATACCACAGAATTTGGGAAACCTTAAAAACAGCTGGCCTTAGAGTTTTAGAGCTCTACCTTCATTAGGAGATAAAAGGAAGAGTTATATAGCCATTATCAAGGAAGCACAAGCTAAAATTTATGAGTAGAGTCAAGAAGATACAGCATTCATCATCCTAGGCAGGAAACAATATAACACAGGTTTACATCTATGCTAGCTTAGTAGATGAAAAAGAAGTTTAAGGATGATTAACAGAACTATTCTGCTTACCCCTAAAGTCATTGCCTAGGAGGCCTTCTGTAAGACTAGCTAGATGCCCAAGATTAGTATTTTTATTGAGACACCACTTCTAGCCTTTATTAAAGCAAGAGCTGCACGGCAAGAGATTTTCATGCCAGAGTTTATTTCTCCTAGCCTTTACCTAAAAAAAGAAACTCCACAAGGCAGCAGGACATGGGACAGGTAGTGTTAGGTTACACAATACCAGCAGAGTGACCGATGATTCTGAACCTGACATGACTTGAATGTTTTTTTAATTAATTTATATTTTTTTGTTTAAATGTTTTTTTAATTTATTTATATTTTAAAGAAAGTTTAATATTTTTTTGAGCTTGCTATGCATTTTTATTGTAATGTGTTAAAAGTACTTATAGAGATAATTTTTGGATAGAGAGATATAGAGATTATATAGATAATAGAGATTATGGAGATAAATGCAAAAATGAATTCGACAGAGTGAAGCAAATTAGTGAAACTTATATCAATATGAAGTTAGAAATAGTTTACAAACTAAATATCACAAATTAGAAAAATTTTAAATATATTAATATGTATTTTGTAAACTTTTTCTAACAAATAAAATTATAAGACTGTAAATAACATTAAATAAATAAATAAACATAAACCTAAATAATTTTATCCATGGAGATTACTATTTTTTATAACTTGTAAAATTACTTTATAAAGTTACATGACTGCCTTGAAAAAAAATAACTGGGCCGCGTACAGTTGATTTGAAAAAAAAATTTATACCTGGGCCACAAACTGTTGATTTGATACCAGTTTTTTCAATAATTGGAACACGGTTGATGGCGCCATTAATGTTAGAACTAAAAACATCCCAATCCAAGTCATATAGTGAAAATGCAAAGTTGTTTGGAAGCTAAAGAAAATAATTACAGAAGTTTCAGAAAAAATATTTTTTACTTATATAAAAATGTTTTTTGTATTGATAAAAAACATATTGTATTTATTAATTTATAAAAATTATAAATAATATAACCAAATATAGTCAGAACTATGTTATAGTAGTTATAGCAACCAAATAATAAACAAAACATTACAAAAATTGCTAATTATATAATTCTGGAAAAATGACAAAGGAGAGTTTGCTTTAATTCTAAATCTTTTCTCAATTATTGTAAAAACTACTATCAAATAATTATATAATTACAAGTTTAATATAAATATAACTAATAAGTATAATTATAAGTTATATAATTACTATTAATCCTAATATAATGGCTTCAAAAAGTAAATTCAAATTATTTGGTTAAAAAAATTATTTTATTACATCTTTTAACTTTAAACTGCAACTTAAAACCTATGGTATAAATGGCTGAGTTTAATAATTTGAAGAATAGAATTTATTAGGAAAACTGTTCTCTTAAACCAGGAGACATGTTACATTGATGAGAAAACAATGAGAATTCAAATTTCTCAAGTTGTGGAAAAATCTAGAATAATAAAAATAGCATATGTGTTTTAATTTTTAAAACCTTTAATGTTCAAGTTAAAAAAAACTTTTGTTTAAAATAATATTAAAATGTTTATAAAAATATGTTATCATAAACATTGCAATTATGCATCATTAATTTCCTAAGATACTAAAGTTCACAGAGTTCATGGACCCTGATAATGCTAACTTATCTGACCCAAGAACGCCACTTATATGGAACATAAAGGTACCCTGTGATGCAATTTTCGAAATCTTTTTTTTTTTTTTATCTGCTGAAAAAAATTCAATTAGAATGTTTAAATTGAGAAAAAAATTTTGACTTCATAGTGCGCCAATAAAACACCTGTAGAATGAGAGCCACTCTATATAATTTAATTAAAAATTGTGGTGTAAATGTAACGTATGGCCACACCAAAAAAAATTAAAAAAAAATAAAATCAAAACTTTAGTCTGATTGGTTTACTGTTTTTTTTTTTTTTTTTTTTTTTTTTATTTGCATTCATTCCCAACAAGGCTGCAAGCAACCACTATTAAGTTGGGAGTTACTAGAAAAAAAAGAAAAAAAGAACAGAGTTATAGAGCAAGGAAACGGTTGACAGAAGACTTGAAAAGTTGAAGGTTGTATGAGTCAGGAAAACATGAAGATGGGAGAGAGTTCCAAAGGATTGAAGTGCGGGGAAAAAAACTAGATGAATAAAAGTTTTTAGAGCATGCAGGGACAGATACAGTAAACGAATGAGACTTAGCTGAATGACGAGTAAAACGAGAATGAATTTTAGTTGATGGAACTAGAGATGATAACTCCTTTGAGCAGTGACCATGATAGTATCTGTAGAAAAAAGAAAGAGATGCAACTTTACGACGATGGGAAAGAGGTTCAAGCTTAGCTGATAGTCCAACAACATTTACAATGCGTTTTTGGACCTTGTCAAGATGAGAAAGTGAATCGTTAGAAGAACCAGCCCAAATATGACAACAGTATTCCATACAGGGACGAATAAGAGATTTGTAGAGGTAGAGAATGGAATCAGAAGTAAGGAAATGGCGAGCACGATAAAGAGAAGCAACCTTAGCAGAAGCTAATTTAGCAATCGATTGTATATATGGTTTCCATGAAAGGTCAGTAGTAAGCGATAATCCAAGAAGACGTAAAGAGGACGACTCAGTAAGAGGATTGCCATTCATTAATATAGGAATGTTGACCATATTACGGTAGTTGTTTGCAGTAAGCAATTGGGTTTTTTTAGAGTTGAAATTCACAAGCCACTGTGAACCCCAATCTATTACTGAAGTGAGATCAGATTCAAGATCAGCTGCTTGTTCTAGGCGATCGAAAAGAGAAGACTTTTTGTCAAGACAGGAGTATAAAGTTGAGTCATCAGCAAAAAGAGCTACTATAGATGAAAGGTTGTCAGGAAGATCGTTTATGTAGATAAGAAACAAAACAGGGCCCAGGATGGAACCTTGGGGAACCCCAGAAGTTACTGGAAATAAAGAAGAGTGTTGGCCTTCAAGGATGACTTTAATAAACCGGTTAGAAAGAAATGATTTGATAATCTCAAAAACTTTCCCAGAAACACCATATGAAGCAAGCTTATGGAGAAGACCAGCATGCCAAACTTTGTCAAAAGCTTTAGATATGTCGAGAGCAATAGCCCTAGCCTCACCGCCTCCATCTAATGCACGATAAAATCTTTCAGTTACAGCAGTTAGCAAATCGGATGTAGAGCGAGAGGATCAAAAACCGTATTGATTGTCTGACAGCAGTTTATTTGACTCAAGATGAGATGTGAGGAATTTGTTGATCAAAGACTCAAAGACCTTGCTAATAACAGAAAGAAGACTGATCGGACGATAATTGGAGGGGTCAGAATTTTCTCCAGAGTTTTTGAATATTGGAACCACAGATGCCATTTTCCAACAAGCAGGAAAACAAGACTCAGTCAAACACTTGTTAAATAGTTTAGAGAGAATTGAACAAAGTTCTGGAGAACAATTCTGCAAGACTGTGACAGGAATGTTGTCTGGACCACAAGCTGTAGACGAGTTTAATTGAGATATGACTTTAGCAACAGAAGCCGGAGTGATTTGAATGTCTAACAATGGGTCAACCTGTTTGACTGGAATGGAAGGAAGAGAATGTCCATAAGATTCAAGAGTGGAATTAGAGGAAAAGCTCTTTGCAAACAGTTCTGCCTTATCCCTGGGAGAGGTAACAAGATCAGTCCCATGAATGAGAGATAGAATGTTAGATCTACCCTTGTTAACAATGCTGTTGAAGATTTTCCAAAAGTCTTTAGAGCCTAACTTCTGCGATAAGATGCGAGATTTAGTGAACTGAGAATAATGGAGTTTAGCATCAGAAAGCACCTTTTTACATTGATTTCTTGCAATAATAAATAGCCGTTTGTTCTCAAGAGAGTTGTTCTTTTGAAAAAGATGAAAAAAATGATTACGATTGGATATAGCAGCCGCACAAGAAGGAGAAAACCATGGAGTAGAATGAGGCTTGACTTGAAACCGACGAGAAGGAATAAAAGCTTCCATTCCAGCCTGAATCCAGGAGGTTACGTAGGAGGCGCATTTGTCAGCTGAGAGAGAAAAAACATCAGCCCAAGGACCATCACGAAGAAAATCACGAAAGGAATCCTAGTCAGCTTTAGGGTAGTAGTAGGTAAAAAGAAGTACGAGAAGAAAGATTTATAGAGATCATTGCATGGTCAGAACCACTTAAGGGAGAAACTGTTTAGAATTTATGGAATTATGTTTTTTTAAAAGGCAATCATCGGCGGGCTTGACAATGTTCTGATTTTGGAAATCTTCCCACTGATAGAATTGCATCTCCTCTTAGGAGTTGTCAATCACCTTTTCAAGATCCTTAAAACTACTTGGCTGTTAAATGGCCAGGTGCCCTCCACATTCAACTGAGCCCATATCATGTTGGCCAGGTAGGTAGAAGGTAATATAAAGTAAAAAATAAGATTTAAATATTTATTTTTTCACTTAATTTTAAAAATAAATGTATTTAAGGTTTCGAAAGTCAATAAAAAATTTGTTAACAGAGACATTTTTTTGTTTGTTTTACCAACTGGTAGTCTTTTGACCAGGTTTTCAACTTTTTTTAAGCATTATGGCAGAAATTTATACTCTTAGGAAATGTTGATATATTCACTCGAGTATAAATAGTACACTTTTAAATTTAAACCAATATTTTGGTCTAAAAAATGATGTCACTATGAAGTCAAAATTTCACTCCATTTGAACATTCAAATTTAATTTTTTCCACATAGAAAAGCAAAAGATTTCAAAATTTGCATCACAGAGTATTATCAGAATCCATGATAACCGTATTTGTTAAGAGGTAGATATTTCAGAGGTAGATATTTTACTACTTTAGCATTGTAAAAGTCATGATCATACATATAAAAAGTAAGCATGTCTAGTCATGATCATACATATAAAAATTTATGTTGTTTGCAAATGTAACTTTATGGAAAAAGCCTTTGGAACTATTATTGCTTTAAAGAAAAAAAGAAAAAATCCTTTTTATGAAAGAGATTCTTTTTATTCAAATAATAATATTCTAAATTCTCAATACCCATAATAAAAGCAATTTGGATATGACCTGTAAACCAGAATCTCTTTTTCTGATATTCCTGATTTTTACATATTATTTGCTTTATGTAAATAGCTTATATTTGTAATTTAAGACTTCCATGTGCAATGGTTCAGATACTTGATAACTCATAAATGAGATATCAAGTATATGAACCATTATATATCATATCCTAGGTTATATCATAAACTAGCTTATATTTATAATTTAAGACTTCCAAATGCAATGGTTCAGATATTTGATAACTCATTTCTGAGATATCAAGTATCTGAACCATTATTTATCAGATCCTAGGTATGTCATAACCTAGATATACTCATAACCAAGATATCATATTCTATATGATATATCAACCATATATATGATACTAAAGCAGAAAAAAAAGAATTTCTTCAGTGATCAAGTTTAAAAACTCATTAAACTTTAAAAACTTTTAAAGTTTTTTTAAAAACAAAACAAAGATTATAAAGTAAAATTTAACTCACATTATTAACAAACATGGGATTTTGTTCGTAACCCCCAATAGCAAGAGCATCGCCTTGGAGTCTAAGATATACTGATGCATCATGATCACGCACATTCGGCATTCTCTCAATACCCTCAATACGTTCTGAAATAACATAAGCATGTCTCAAAGCAACCAATGGTACTGGAACACCACACATTGCTCCAATATGAGGAGCCCACGCACCAGCACAATTTATAACACAGTTTGTTTTTATGTTGCCAAGATTGGTATGTACCTCAGTTATTTTTTTCTTTCCAAATAAATCCACTTCAGTTAAAAGATTTGTTACCAAACAATTTTCAACTATCTGAAATCAGATAAAATAGCAATGAATAAATATAAAATTAAATAATATAAAAATAAATATAAAATTAAAACAGATAAAATAGCAACGAATTTTTAAAATATTAATTGTTACTTTTAATAAATATTAATTATTGTTACTTTTGCTCCTCGTAGAGCAGCAGCTCTTGATAAAACTGCTGTCCATCCAGAAGGATCTATTGTTCCATCACCAGGACTATATAAAGTTCCATATATATCATTCACATTCATTAGAGGGTACAAAGCTTTTGTTTCAGTTGGAGACAAAGTATATGATTCCACTCCATAAACTTTTCCGAGCTATCATTAAAATTTTTGAAATCATTTTTTTTTTTTAAATAAAAACTATTAAAAAATATATAATGACAATACTTAAACCTAATTATTAGATTCAATAGTTGAGATCATGTTGAAAACCTTTTCTTATGGTAAAGCACATTGTGTTCTAACCATAAAGGACTATAACCATATAGATAAAGCGCAACCTTATCTATATAACTATATATAGATAATGAGGTTTTGATAACATTCTTAATGAGATTTTGATAACATTCATATTTTGTATTTGCAAAGCTTATTATTTTTTAGATTATTATAATTGTTAGTATTGATATTGTTATTACAGCGCTCAAAATAACGGCTGATCAAAGATCAATGATCGGCTATTTTTAGGGAAATTTCGAAAAATTCAAGGAAAAATAACCTGTTTTTGTAAAAAAAATTCCATTTGATCGGCATTATAATTCCTCAGCTTTGAAAAACTATTTCGAGCGCTGTTATTATTATAATTACTGTTGTTATTGTTGTTATAATATTTATTACTTATAATATTAGTATATATAGAACAACAATAAAATATTACAAATCATTAAACTTACAGTCATTAATCGTTTATATTCATCCAATCGCACTTTATTGTTTGCAATAAACAAGCCACCATTTTCATTAAACACAGAGCTTAGACCAGTCTCTTTCTCTAAAATATCACGAGCAATTAATCTTGTATGAGCAAGTAGTTCAACCTCAATGTCTGAAGGTCTCAATCTCCATAAGAGTCCAGCGCTATGCCATGTTGTTCCTGCACTTAATTGATCTTTTTCGATAAGAACAACATTCTTCATGCCATGTTTCGTAAGATGATATGCAGTAGAGCAACCAATAGAACCGCCACCAATCACTACAGCATCAGCATAATCAGGGAGAGAGACTGACTAAAATGTAACAAATTCTATATTACTTGTTGCTGAATAAACTAAAACTTCATACTTCCAAATAAAAAAAACAACGAATTACTTTTCAACTTTCAGTTTTACAGAAATACATAAATACTAAATTTGTACAGTATTAGCTGTAGTCATATAAAAACATTTTCTATTATAAATATGACTTATTTTAATTATTTTAAATTTTTTTATCCATTTATTTAACCAAAAATTGAAAAATTAAATTTTTTTTATTATTTTATATAGTTCGGTTAGGTATCACTCATATAGTTAAAAACTTTGGAGTTGACACTTTAATAAAATAAACAAACAAACAAAATAAATCAAAAGCAATATTAATAAATAAATGCAAGCATAAATTAAATTAATTAAAAAAATAACGATTAAGCTATAATAAATCAAATAAAAAAAATATGAAAACACTTAACAACAACAGCAAACAACAACAAAAAATAATTAGCAATAACAGCACAAATAATAACAAACTTTACGGATTTATTTTTATGTTTTAATTAGCTCTTTTTTATTATTATTTTGGACATTTTTCAAATTTTTTTTCTTTTAACTTGGTTTTAATCAAGTTTTTTTGTTTTTGTTTTATTAAATCTATTTCATTTTATTCATTTGTTCATTTTCTTGTTTTATTTTTCTTCAATCTTTTTGTTCGGGTATACCTTTCAATATTTTTCTTATTCTACTTTCAATATTTCTCTTTATTTTTAAGTAATCTCTTTTATCCTTTAAAATAACTTCCTTCATTTTCCTTTTTTATTTATCTATTAAAAGACAATGTGCTTGTCCTTCTTCAACCTTTTAATATTTTCTTTAATTTTTATTACTTTAAAAAAATTAGGAATCTTTTTTTAAATTAAATTACATGCAAAAAATCTTGATTTCATATTAAATAAGGAAGTTTTAAATTTGAAAAGAAAAAAGTATATTTATATACTTAGCAAGGTACAGTTAGAGAAATAAGTATCCAAACAAAGCATTTTATTATGGAAAATAAACTTTGTCAACCTTTGTCAACAGTTTCAGTAAAAAATAACTTTATAAAAATAAAAAAAATGATTATTCTGAAAGAAAATTTAATTACGAATTCAATAAGCAAAAAAAAAAAATTATCAATAATAATATTTAAAAATTAAATAATTTAGATACATTTAAACTATGCAATTTTTTAGCATTAGATAAGTATCTGAACAAAATTTTAAACTATGCAATTTTTTAGCTCTATTTTAGCCCGGAGTCTCGGGAGTCCATAAAAATTTAAGGACTCCGCGACTCCTTTTTTTTTATATAGTTACTAATATGTTTAAGAAATACTTGATAATCTTGTCACAAAACACTGTAAAAGAGCATTTGACCGGAAAGCTCATCTCCTTCCTTAACAACTTGAACCGATACTCAGATTGAGTATCGGTTCAAATGTTACGCCTTGTTAAAGGGCTTTACCAAGCTTGCGTTTTACGTGCGAAAAAGCCATACGCCTACACGTTCAGCAGTTTAACGTTAAGAAAATACTTTTATCTTTTAGAATATTTAAATTATATTTTGATATTGTTTATGTGATGTTTATTCAGAAAATATAATATTGCAAGTAAAAGCATTTAACTGCAATTGTGATCTAATATATTTTTTGTTAAAGAAACAGTAAGTTTAATAATTTTTTTTTTAATTTAAAAATAGTTAAAGAAAATAAAGTGTTTTAAGTTTAAAGGGATCCCTAAGTGCTATAAAGATATGATCTCATATGAAAGAGCATAAAAAAAAAATGTTTGATGTATATTATTTTTTCTAAAACATAATAATGAACACACACTAACAAATTTAATTTTCAAAAAAACGCTTTTCTTCGATTAAAAAAAATGCGTCTTGTCCAAAGTTTATTGACTCTATTGCCTCAAAAAACTAACGTTAGTACGTCAAATTAAACAAAGTAGACAAAATGTCATTATTGCAAACTTATTAGTTGGTAATTAAATTTAAAAGTAAAGTCTTTTTTTTCAACTAACACATAATTACTTACAAGAATAAGTTTTGTAGCATTTTGTGAAAATATATTAAAATTTTTTTTATAATATTAATTTATATATTTGTGTTATAAGGGCAATTCCACGGCTAAAAATGAATAGAAGTCAAATTTTAAACTCTTTTTAGTCAGTTAAAAACAAATGAATATTGACTTAGACATATGAAAGTTTATTTAAAATATTGCCTTGGTAAAAAAATAAATTTATTTCAGTAATTTTTATGGTTTCAAAAGTGACGGTTACTCTCATTTTTACTTGATAAAAAAAATAATGATTGTAAAATGTTTTGGTTAAATTAACATTTATGTTAAATTGCTATATTTTTTTGGTTCAAATTGATAAGGTCGAATGGAAATTAGAAATTAAACTAAGACAAGGCTCGAATTAACGCAAAAAAATCTAGTCGCAAAAAAAATTTTTTTTTTTTTGCTCTCTCTCCCCCCCCCCCTCTCTCTCTCTTATAGTTCGCGCCGATGTGTGGTAATGGGGGGGGGGGAAAAATTATTGTCAATAAATCAAAAAACATCGTCAAAAACTTTTTCATTTAAATAGTTGATGTTTTTATTTAATTTTTCTATTTCAAGTTTTCCAATAAAAGATTAAACAAAAAAATTTGGTTTAATAAATCGAATTATACTTCATATTTAAAATAAGGCTTAAAAACGTTAAGGTAAAAAAATTGCTGGTTTTCATTAGCATTTTTATACTGTTTGAAAAAAAAAACTAATAAAAAAGAATTAACTAATAATATATTAATAAATAATTAAATATTATTTCTTTTTTATTAGTTTTTTTTTTTGATAAACAAAGATAAAAACCAACTTTTCAACTTTTCGCTTTAACGACCTTGTAAAAATTTTCCACGCAAAGATTTAAAGTAATTTAAATTCAAAAATGTTTTACGTTAAAAGAAAATCTCCGCGCGAAAGAGCAAATCATCTATTCATCTATCTATTCAGAATAATAAATTCTGTGTGACGTTCTTTATGATAAAAACATTACTTTTAAGAATTGCTAAAAAAAATGCTAAGCTAGAAAAAAAGTAATTAATCAACCAAAAAAAAAACGAGTTGCGAAAAGATTTTTTTAAAGAAAAAACTAATCACAAAAGTGTGTGTAGCAATCGCGATCGTGATACGCTTAATACAAGCCCTGTAAGACTTTTTTATAAGTTCTAAACTATTTAAAACTATTACTTATAACTTTTTTTTTAACCACGTCTTTCAACCGAATGCTATTATACTGTTTTTGCAAAACTTATTAAAAAAACTTGATTAAAACTTAACTATTTAATCATGACTTTTTTTTACTTGAAAATCGAAGTAGATATGCTAAAGTTGTTGTGACGTACTAACGTGATTTTTAACGACTAACAATCGAGTTTCAATGGTGAAAAAATAAAATCAAAATGGAGTTGTTTTTTAGTGATTTCGGCAATTGCTTTTTGTTAGCATGCATTTATTATTACAATTTAGTGAAAAAGAAAAAAAACTTACATATTTTTTTTTTATGCTCTTTCATATGAGATTATATGTTAGGAGCACTTAGGGATCCCTTTAAAAATTTCATCATATTTAATGTTAAGTTTTAAATTTCTTAAGTTTATAAACTTTCATTTGCAAATTATGTTCATTTTATATTTTAACGATTTTTATTTATTTATTTATAGTTTTATTTAAAACAATTAATTTTTTTATCCCATTGAGAAAGTACTAATGATTAACTGTTTATTAAAGTATTTCCTCATCATCAAATTTCAAGAACCAGGGGCGATTTCACGGGTTGTATGAGAAGGGGGTTGTTGCCCCCCCCCCCTACACTAAAAAGAGAGGAAGTTAACATTCAACTTACACTTAAATATTTTTTATAAGACATTCGTCACTTTTGAAGGATTCATCCTCCTCATTTTAATCATAAAATCAGCACTGGCTAGACCTGCAGATAACGATATGTTTGAGAATTTAGTTGTTTAATTTGTTTTGAATATTTACCAAATTTAGAAATAAATGATATTTTAGTGTTGAAGTTGCTTTTATGCATAAGTTTTTTCGTTATCTTTAATTTTTTTAGATTGATCATAGAAAGAAAGTCGATTAGATATGATTAACTAGGTTATGAGCAGTAGACGAATATTAAAATATTCGTCAAGTTCTTTAAAAAAAATTGTTGATATATTTTTTGCACTGTTTAAAACTGTAAACTAAAGTAGGAAATTATACTTATAAACAAATGAAGCTTGTAAATACTATTAGAAAAAAAATCTTTTTATTTCTTTTAATTTCAACCCAAAATGGTGTGAGATAATATATTTATATACATATGGTTTTCAATCTACTCTGCTAAGAAAATCAAAATTTTTATTTTAATAATGTCTAATGAAAAATTGCAATGAAAGCAATATGGTTTAGATATGAAAAGCTATCAAATTTCACTAACAAATTAATTATATGCAATAAAAATCAAATTTGTCTGTGAGTTTGCCCTATAAATTCATACTAACGATCTAGACAATTGGCAAAAATCCTACCATCTAACTCAGAGAGAAGCCAAAAAAAGCTTATAAAAATACCTCAAATAAATAAAAACTATTTTGCGCAGCAATTCCTTTTACGGTAAAACTACTAACGTCATTGATTCATAACTAGTCAATGTAACAGCTTTCCTAACTATGTTTTCGTGGGTTGTTTTACAAAAAATAAATTTTGTGAAGCATATATAACACAAAGAAAATATTTTACATGTTCATAATAACATGCAATAACAACATTATTTCTTTATAATAATATTTGCTAATAACTCACAGGTAAAAATCTTGACCAGTAATGGCCATTAACTATGCATCAGATAGGATCTACAGACATTTTCATTGTACAAATAAAATTTTGAATGGATACAAAGTAGTATGCTTTAAATGTCTTGTACCTGAAAAAAGTAAAAGTAACGAGTTATGCGGTA